GGCAGCCGAAGGGAAACGAAGTCAGGTCCCAGTGGACGAAGGAACCACGGAGGTCAAGAAGCAGCCAGCTAGGGAGGTGGCGGTAACGGAGGTGGCGGCGAAGGCGGTGGCGGCGAGGGAGGCGGCGGCGAGGGCGGCGGCGGCGACGGGGGAGGAGGCGAGGGAGGAGGCGGGCTCGGTGGCGGTGAGCAGGCACACGTCTCTTGCCTTTTTTTTATGAATTCCAAGCAGGCGGACAGCCGAGACCAGCGACCGGTGGTCCCATCCAGCCAGCCTGCATCCACACAGCACACATCCACACAGTGCTCCAAGTGCACACCAGGCGCCCGAACGACATCAAGCGAGCCCTGGAGCCCTGCCTGGGCATAGGGGGGGACTAGCCGCAGGCCTACCTAGCTAGAAGGCCCGCGCGTAGGGGGGTGGGAGATTAAGGCCGGTCATGATCGCGACAGGCATGTTGCGAGCGAGCAGACTTGTTGATTGATGTTCTTTCTGCGCGTCGCCACAGACGGGCGGCGCGTATTCACAGACCTTGTTATTGAGAAGAAAATACCGCCCATGCATGGCACTTGGAGCACTTGGAGTGCAGTTAGCAGCCAGCCCCCCCAATGAACACACCAGTGAGGGAGGGCGAGACGATCGAGGGGTCCCGTATCCAGTGCTCAAGTGCTCAAGCAGCCAGCAGATCAAGGGCCTGGCGCTGAATTCACTTCACATAGGGACGTGCGTAACCTGGATGTGGACACGCACGCACGCTCGCCGCACCTCAATCCTCTGATGGTGGGGAAGAAGCGTGCGGTGGAGTCGGACGGCATGTCCAAGCGCGCCATTGCCGAGCTCTACAGGTACCGCTCCACCTATAGACTGGGCGACCTCATCTACGGCTACATTGACCAGCGGCACGGAAGATCGCCGCTGACCAACCCGCCGCGCAGCATCTACTGCTCCACCTGGCCGACGAGCCTGGGCTGCGCCTTTGTGCGGAGCAACGCGAGCGCCGACACGCGCGGCAGCGGCCTCAAGACGCTCTGTCACCTCGCCCGCGACATGCAGCCGAGGCTTCGCCCGCGGCCGAGCAGCCTCGTCGTCCACCTCAGACTTGGCGATGTGCTCGATTACTCCTATTGGCGCGAGCAGCGCGCGGGCGGCGGCTGCAGCTGGAGGAAAGGTCCGGCTGCGTGCTAGCCCACGCTGCGCCTTGCCCGACCGCTCGTCGTAATGCCCTGCTCGGCTTTGCAGGTTGCTGGTACGTCCACCCAGTGAGCTCCTACCAGCACCTCGCCCCCCGCCTCCCCAAAGACCTGAGAGAGGTTGTGCTTGTGGGAAACCCCGCCTACCGCCTCCACAGCCGCTGGCCAACCAACTACTCGCGAGACTACGTCAACCGTGTCGCGGACGCGTTCCGCCAGCTCTTGCCAAACGCGAAGCTGCTGCTTCGAATGAATGGCACGGCCGACGACGACTTTCTCTTCGTGGCGCGAGCGGCGTATCTGATCCCTGCTCGAGGGTCCGGTTTCGGAAAGGCGGCGGCGTTTTGTGCCCGTAGGGCGGGCGCGACCATCCTTCAGCCTGCTTGAGTGTGCGAGACGCCGAGAGGGAGTGTATGATCGAGCGCGTCGGAGTGATGGAGAGTCTTAGTGGCCATGCCTTTTTTGGCGCCATCTACGCTCCAGTGCAGCGCCGAGCCGCTGGTTTCGCAAAATGTACGCGCGGGGGGGGGCCGGTGAGGCGCTCGTCACGATCATGTACCCACTCGCACTGTCGAGACGAGCCCTCGGAGCGTGGCCATGGCAGAGAGCGGTGTCAGCGCGCCCGTAGCCGGGTTGCTCTCAGTTGGAACGCCCGCAATTCGAACCTCAAAGTTGCTCTCTGCAGACTTCACCGCAAAGGTGTGCGTGTTCCGCTCGACTCCCGGATCGGCCCAGAGCTCGTACTTCGTGCGATCCGGTCCGATACCCGCCAAGGAGAGTGCGACGGCGACGTTGACGTTGGCAGGGAATCGCTGGGCCGCGTCGCTCACGCTTCCAGCATAGAGGCGCTGCGGTTCAGCGAGCTCTGACAGGTTCAGCCCTTGCTCACGCACAAACGGCGCATTTGCGAGCGACGCGGGTGGCTTGCGCGTTTGCATCACGACCGACGTCACATTCCCACCCTCTGTGGCCGCCTTGACTGCGTCCAAGCCGCAGAGAGCACCACTCGGGACGAGGATTCTGCCGCCTGAACTGGCGGCTAGCTTTTGAAGCACCTCGTACTCCAGAAGCAGCTGCGTCACGCTCAGGACGAGTAGCGTCTTGCCCGCCGCCAGCGTTGGCTGCGCAACGTCGAGGAACAATGACGGCGGCAGCGCCTCGACCACGACATCTGCGTGCGCAGCCAGCTCTGATGCAGTGAGCACAGCAACGTCGGTGAGACCGGCCAACGCGGCTTTCGAGCGAGCACTCGCCTCTGTGCTCGCGCTCACGGCGGCAAGCGACATCCCCGGGATGCTCCCACGGAACAGCTCCCTGGCGACGGGCAGGCCGACGGCGCCCAGGCCAGCGATTGCCAC